TCTTATGCTGTGGTGGAACTACAATAAGTCCAATTAGCACAGCGTGGTGTATCAATATAGGCACAGAGTTAAATTTTTTTAACATTTTCTAATGGTGGTGTGCCTCGTGATTTTTTTCATGAAAAAAGTGTGCCTTTGCACAAAAAAGGTTGAAAAACACTGGTCTAACATGCTAAACTATACTATATGCTATTACTTAGAAAGATATTAAATACATGCAATAAACCAAAGTTAAGCAAAGCAAACCTTCCAACTCTCTTATTCTATCTTGAAATATATACAGTCTTTCTTCATTTGAGCTTTATTAACACTAAGCTCGCTATTTTTCTTATGCCTTCATGAATAATCTCACTTGATTCAGTGCATATTTTGCATGACTGTGGTAAATTAAATTTGCATTAACTCTATTTGTTTCTAGAAGATTAAAGTTAAAATTAGGAGAACTCAAGCCTGTGGATACAGATTGAAGTAAGAGTTCCTCCATCTTTCTCCAAATGATATTTATTCTCTTTCTGATAAAAGTAAGAAATTAATGACCTCCCAATGTCCAGATATATCTGGAGAAGACTAGTTTTCTGCCTAATTTTTCAGCTCTGTAGAACAGTTTTGGTCACTTGGCTGCATGACCAATACTAAATATCGTATAGGAGTGAGAAATTTTTTTTGAGTTTTTGAGCTTTTCTGTACCTATAACTATGGTATAATGCTATAGATTTTCTGACTGGGATTAGTTTTGGGAGTATTATTTTTTGGTGTCTGATTCTCCCTGTCACCAGAAGATGGTGCTCAGGGATTATTATTTCAGAGTTAGGCCACCCGTGAATGGTTTCAAACAGTGTTCTCTTTTGTGCTGTATGTGGTCTGACATAACATGAAACTGCAGGAAGAGGTCAAGCACAATTTTTCAGTGGGATTTTCAGTATGCTGATGATAGCTAGCTCAAATGATCATCACCATTTAACCCCAAGAAAGCGATTGTGCTTTTAAAGTTCAGCAATGTGCTGGGTGGAAAGCATGTTAGAATCAAATACTGACATGACAGTAGATGCAGCTTTTTTTTTCAATAGGAAATTTGATTCATAGATTGGAATTTATCCTGTTCTGGGTGGAGTTGCATTCCCTTGAAAGAACAGATCCGCAATTTGGGAGTGCTCCTTGATTAATTTCAGGTATCATCAAATTCCTAGGTAGCAGGCAGCTTGGATGGAAAGTACTTTTAAACATTTGTGGGTGTGTGCCATTTGCAGTCATTTTTTGTTGGCTATTTTTTGTGATAATTACTCATACTTGTTATACCTGTTTTTATTTATTTTATGTGATAACTGAAAGGTGTATGAAAGTTACAACTGATGCAAAATGCAACAGGTAGGCTAGCAACTGATGTCCACATTAAAAGATCTGTATTAATGTTTTCCAGGTACAATGCAAGATGTTACTGTAAGTGCCACACACCCTAACTGTTTGAAGAATATTCTCTTTTGTTATGAAATGAACAAAACATTAAGACTCTAGTTCTGAAGTTTCTTATAGTTCAGAGGACCATCTAATAGATTTTCAAAGCTAATGGTTGTATCAATATGATGTTTCAAAATGAACTTTCTTTTATATTTTTATTTATTTATACTAGCTTCTTTTCCTTTATTTCCTTCTTTGGGTGTTTAAAGTAAAAACGATCAAGCAAGCATGTATTGCTTTGGGAGGCAGTCCCAGATCTAGAATAACACAATTGTCCTTTATGGCCCCATATTTCTTTCATCCATAACACATTTTAAAGAAAATTCTCCAGTAGTTGCTTTCACTTATCACTAGAGTAAGTGTATACTATATTAAGATGGGAAGAAGGTCTTATTAATTTGAAAGTGGTTTCTCATACTTTGTACATTTCATGTTGTCTTCCCAGCACAGTGTACAAAGGTATCTTCAGTAAAGATCCAAGTCGCAGACAGCAAGCTAAAAGCAAATGGCTGGAGTCTTTCCAGAAACTGCACAAGATACTTCAGGAATATGCTACAATTGTTCTTGGTCAAGAAGATGCAGCCATACTGCTTAGAACAAGTGAGGAAGCTATCCAAACTACAATCCGTATGGTATTTTGTTATATTTGTTCAAGGAGAGGTTTATTATATTAAATTGATTTCTCTGTGTTTTCCAAGTTCTGCAGCAGGAAGTGGATCAAGGATTCCAAGTCCAAGGAGCACGTGAGGATCACTGTCACTGCTTCAAAAGAAATATAACTGACTTACAATGTAATCTGTCAGATCCCCAGGCATCTAAATACATTGACATCCACCCACGAACACTAGAAGTGAACAAAAATATTAATGAAGAACATCAAAACTTTGTGAAAAGCATTCATTCTAGGGTAGGATTATCAAATGGGCATAGGTTGTCATGTTCCATACAAGTAAGGTTAAATTTAAAAGTACCCTAATTTTCACATGGAAATATTTAAAGATCCATCATTGATGTACAGTATTATGGAATCTGAGAGTTGTAATGCATCTTACTATAGTATTGTAAAGCTTGTTAAGGTCTCTGGCTAGGCAGAAAAAATGTATTGAGTATGCTGAAAATCTTGATTTCATAATCAGCTACAGACCATAGTTAATGGAATTAACTTATCACTTTATTTGTTTAGCATTTATTCACCATTATATACTATGTCTGCTTTTCAGTCAAACAGTGTAAGAAGCTTTGGATCTTTTTTTGTGTTAATCTACTTGCAAACACTTTCCTTCATATAGAAGGAAAGTTAATTTAATAGAAACTTAATAGCTAATTTGCCTTTACAGCTTCGTCATATAAATATTTACAAGAAGAATGTTAGCTGGGGAAAAGGTGGCATCAATCCCAACAGGAATAGGTCCCATGCCTACTACCTAGAATGCCTTTGCAATGACTTTCAGAAAATTGTTGTTAATCATTTCAACAGGTTAGCTTCATATCTGCTTTTTGAAAACAATTGTAGACATTGAATGCATAACTTATCCCTAAAACCAGAGGTGGGTTCTTACCGGTTCGGCCGAGTAGGTAGTAACTTGGCCGCCCATGCCCCCGAACCGATTCTATTGTCGGTGGTGCCATCTTTATTTTTGGTTCTGCATATGCGCAGAACAATCTCCATTGCATAAATGATTTTTTTTAACTTTTGTAACATTCTTTGCATGCGCAGACTGTTAGATCGGGTAATGGAAAGGCACACAAGGCTAAAGGCAACAACAGTTCTTTATTATAATACAACAAGCGAGAACAATCCAGCGAAGGTTGAGTCTGACAGCAGCCCTTTTATAGGGAGCTGTCAGACTCTTCGACCAATAGATTAAACCTCTATTCCTGCTGGAAGAGAGGACGTTGGTAGAAACCACTATAACTGAAGCTAGTATCTAACACCCCTCCCCTCTTAGATGGAATAATCCTGCTGGTTACATAGTCACGCAGGTAGGCGGGCTTTTTGGTAGCTCTGCTAGACCTGTGCAGTTCAGTTGGAAGTTGTTCTTCGGACAGGTTGGACGGATCTGTTTGCTCCACAGCTCCACTTGGTGGAAGCTCCTGGAATCTTTCACAGGCCGCGGCTGGAGCTTCTAGAGCCGGTTTGCTTGAAGCTCACTGCAGGCCTGCAACACAACCAGATAGGTTTCCCGGAACCCTCGGGCTTGAGCTGTCTGTGGAAGCAGAGAGTTCTTGCTCCATTTGGGTAGGGCTTTGGCTAACTCATGCAGGAGTTACCTAAGAGTGGAGTTAGAGAGGCGGCTACGGAGTTGGTCAACGTGCCTTCTCCAATTCCGACCATCCTCGAGCTCTACAAGATAAAAGTGAGGTCCGGTGATGCCTATCACTGTGGCAGGAATCCACAGAGTTCCCCCTGGCGTAGTTGTGGGTGTGAACTGAATCCCCTATGCTAAAATTCCGAATCTTGCTTATAGGGTCAGGGGGCGATGTGGCAGAATAGTTTGGGTGTAGCAGGTCTAAGTGGGACCTTAGCCGGCGACCCATGAGAAGCTTGGAGGGGCTTCTCCCTGTAGTGGCACTTGGCGTGATATGTTGAATTAAGAGATAATGGTCAACCCGTGTTTGCCAATCTCCCAGGCCCATCCTGGATAGGGCCTCTTTTGCAGATCTCACCATTCTCTCTGCCTGACCATTGGAGGCTGGATAGAAT